TAATAATAATAATAATAGATTGAATTTATATAGTGCTCTATTCCATACTGGTATAAGCTCTGAGCGCTTTACACCAATCACATAATCACTGAGCGATTCACACAAGATAAAATAGTTCACAGTAACAAGAAAAGCCAGTTCAACCACACAGGCCTAATATAAAGAACTTTCGTAACAATATATTAAATACACGTAAGGACTGCAGTAAAAAAAAAAAAAGAAACCCAACCATATCAGCACTTACTAACACACTATAACTAAGAATTAAACAATTAAGGAGTCTTGAACAATGACGTAATCGTATTAGGATGTGTTATTTCTCTGAGATCCTGGGGCAAGGAGTTCCAGATTTTGGGGCCCAAAAATGAGACTTTTCTCGCCATGCAAAAGATCTTAATTTCATTCTAGGGGCTTTGAATTTTGTAGCGTCTGTGGATGATCAGAACTGACGAGATGGAACATACAGTGTTAAAAGCCGGGATAGATATGACGGGGCTACATCGTTAAAACATTTAAAATAGATGTTGAAACTTTATACTAGATTCTTCTATCAATTGGAAGCCAATGCAGAGATTTTAACATTTTTGATGCGGGATCTTTCTTCTTTTTCTGCGGCACTTGACTTGCGGAGTTATTTTGGGCCACTTGCAGTTTCCTCATTCGCCCCCATGAAATACCAGACAGAACAGAATTACAGTAGTCCAGTTTTGACAAGACAAGGGAGACACACAGCATGCATGTACTATCAGTTGAAATAAGAAGCCTTATCTTGCGAATTCCTCTAAGATCAATTTATGTAGGGGTACATATACATCGAAAAACATGGTTTATTTGGTTCTTCAAGGTTCTTGGCCTTGTTGGAAAAGGATATACTAGTGTTTTCAACTTCTAACTAGCTTCTAGATAAGACGAGATAGATCAGGCAACATAAAAAGCAACAATTTTAGGAATAATGCAAGGGAGGTAACGAGAACAGCTTATGAACCAGGCATCAATATACACAGTTGCGTCCCATGTATTGTTTACAAAATATCAGCTGACTGGAGAGGGGAGGTGACTCTCAATATTATGTTTGACATTTGACATCGTTACCTCATCAACTTTGTCCCAGGTGAAGTGAACAGCAGCGTTGTAGGTTGCTAGATCTAGCAGCAGTACAGATGAACGGCTTTGTCTCAAAGTCAAAGGTTACTATGGGAGTAATTCTGTTACTATTGACAAACATTTAATTTATAACTAAAAAGATAGATTTTTTTTATCCGTGGCATGCTCACACACTCGCACCGATAATTAACTTAATAATGACTTAATGTGGGCTTGTACCTTCGGTTTCGTTTCAATCCTGCGTTCAATTTTAATAAAATAATAATACAATAGTCAATAGAAGGGTATATTTATAAATATAGATCTAGTAGGCCCTGCCCTGTGCTATTTTATAGCCTATAACTAGATTACTGCTCTAAGCAAAAATCCTGGACTCAGCTGTTTGTGGAGAAGTATGATTACAAAATTACAGAACGCTGCCTCTTGCCTAGCCTATACTAGACCTATAGACAGTATGGAGATATCTGGATCTTGTAGATCTAGTTACATTCGTTAAAGACCAGGATCCATTTGTTTACATCCAGAGAAGAAATCCAGAAGTCTTGATGACCAAATACTATTTGAAATAGGCTCCACAAAGAGTAGGGATGCTACCTAACTGCAAAACATCAAATTAGGATAACATTCAGCGCCCCCCCCCCCCCCCCCCCCCATATTTTTATTAGGTCAGGGGGGCTTACCCCCCTACTCTTGACTTTAACGAACGAAACTACAAAATCGCCGATATCTGACTTATAGATCTATATCTCATCATTACGTTGGAGGCAATGACTCACTCCCTGACTATACAATATTATCGTAACTTATGGATGCTAGATAATTCTAGAGTCGAGACCATTCCCTACTTGAACCACAAGTGGCACTAAGTGAGATACAGAAATTACCAAGAATTCCTCTCTTCGCAGTCTCTGAATGAAGTAGGCCTACCTGAGACGGTGATCATAAATTATAGCCCCTACCTTATTCTACACTGTCTGATGAACTTCCCATTTGTCTGTTCTTGAAAGTTGAAAGGACTTTGTCGAGGATTGAAGAATCATGACAGCTCGCTAAAAAAGAACTTTGATCCGTCTCGGTGTTATAGATTTGTGTACCACATTAAATACCAACCTCTGACCTTGACACCCATGTGTACCTGCAGTCTTTAGCACCTTTCCTTCCGTGACCCCGATTGAAATAATGATGGCAGTTGTTGGTCCTTTACTGATGCTGACAAATTCCTCTCCTATAGTTTGGCCAACTTTCCCTCATTGTTTCTCTTAAAAAAAAACTACTGTCCGCACTGAATCATTGTGAATCATTGGAGCAAAAGTCTAGTGTGTGCACAGCTGTACAGTTTTTTTCATAGTTCTCACTTTTCTTCCTGTCACAGTTTCCGGAAACGTCTACTGATATACTCCTATAAGCTGACAAAAAAAGCCTATTTTCAATTTCGGCACCCTCTTTTTTTATTTTGCTGAATTGAAAGTGTGATTAGTTTTTGAAGTTGAATTCAGATTTTGGAAGAACGCCTTTTTTAAATGGTTATGCAGACGAAAAGTTAAAAGCCTCTTTATCTCGAAACTGCTGTGAATTTTTTTAAAAAGGCGTTTTGTCAGCTTCCAGCAGTGTAGCTCTTCAGAAAAATCAAGACATACTTAATTACGTGTTTTCCCCTCTGGCATGCATGGTAGAGAGTCTACCAAACCATTACACGACAAATGCTGTTCAAGTAGGCCTTTTATGTGAACTTTTACTAGCTATAGCAATTATATTGTTGTCAGCTGATGTCATGATTAATTGAGTAATCGATTACTCATCCTGGCCTACCTTGTATCATGTTATATTATGTACGTGATGGTCTTCATGATTCCTGCCTGAGTAACACTTGGGAGAATAGACATGTTGTTCATTACCAATTTTTTACTTCAATAAATTTGTCTTTAGCAATTGATTTTGACATCAGCATGACTTAGATTTATGTATAAATGACATTCAAAATAACTTTTAACTTCACAACAGTTTTGTTTACATTGTGCAATCCCTTCTCCCCTCAGAAGTGACTATGATGTTGAATAAGGTACAACTACTGCCCCTCAGGATGAAGGGAAGTGTACACATGATGAAGATAGACTTTTCCGGAAGTATTACCAACGTCTGTATGTTGGTTCAGTGTCTCAGAGCATCGCACCAGCTTGCAGGAAGAGGGAGCTGCAGACATATTTGTTCACAGAGTCGCGTGATGGAGAGGGGTGGTGCAACATGTTCCGAAAACCTCAGCAGCATCTTTCCTCCTGTGAGAAATCATTCAATTCGTTCTTTATCATCGCCACCATCATTTTGTTATCGTAAAAATCTCGCACGAGGCAACGTAAGCCATATGGCGTGTCGGAGTATGTCCTCGCTGCAGGGGACGAAGGACAGGTACCAGGGACTCTGGGTCAACCTGGCATATCCGCAGGAGGAGCAGGACATCCAGAACATGACGGAGGACCAGTTTCACCTTCTTTTGACCGGTGAGTGTTTCTTTTTCCCTCCGCTAGGGTTTCGTCTGTTAATGTGAAACTTTCTACTCTTTACTTTGATTGTTTATTCTCACACTTGTCAGTTGTGAGGTGTGCTGACTTCATTTCTTTCCCTCTGTGGTCTCTGTCTGTCTGTCTGTCTGTCTGTCTGTCTGTCTGTCTGTCTGTCTTTCTGTCTTTTTATTTTCCTGCACTGAATGGCCACTGATGTGTCAGTTTACATCTCTCTCCTCAAACAAACAAACTAAAGAATTAATGCTGAAAGCTTAAGACTGTATAATAATGTCTGTAAATTTACTTTTCTTGGATATGGGCACTGAACTCTTTAGTGGGTGGTTGGCGGGTGCTCTGCTGTGGTTTGCTCCTTCTTTCCTATCGAACATCTATCGTCCTGATCTCTCCTCCTTTTTTGTGATTGTTACTCTCTTGTAACACCTCTAATCTTCGGCACTTATATGAACTATTGTGTTGTAAGTGGCATAAAACGTTTACTAAAAAAACCGGATCACTTTTGCAAGTCGGAGAGGTTTTTATGTGGAGAAATCTTGTCTTTCTACAATGTGGCCTTATTGTATGATCTTGTATTATTCTGACAAAAACTGTTTGTAAATTCCCCAGAATCGCTGCTGAGGTGGAGGACAGAAGGGCTGTCGTGTGTGTGGCTCAAAGTCCCCATCTCCCACAGCAGGTTCGTCTCTGTGGCCTGGAGGCAGGGGTTCGAGTACCACCACGCCGAGGGGAAGGCTGCTGTTCTGAACCTGTGGATGAAGCCAGAAGCAGAGAGCAAAGTGCCGCAATTTGCAACACACCAGGTCGGAGTGTCTGGTACGTTTTGTCTTTTTAGTTTTCGTTTTCGTAAGATTTTATGGCACTCTCAACTGCATAAGGTCATATGAGCGCTAAGGGGCAGATGTCAACAGAGAAGTCCAAACGAGGAATCAGGCTTACTCTGCTCACCTCTCTATCCTCAACAGCACAAAGTCTGCTTCAACTATCAAGGCACCCTGGAAATAGCAGTTCACAAGAGAGCGACAAACAGACAAAAGAAATAGAAGAAAAATGACGATAGTTAGGATGAGGAAAGAAAAAGCAGCAGTTTATCCTATGTTGTTTCTGCACAGTATGAGCATGGCATTGATAAGTCAGCCCTTTAAAAATTCTACTGTGCATAACAACATGTTAATGTCCCCCCTTTGGGAATCGCCTAAAGACAACTTACCTTAGTCAGTAGCACTGCCTGCGGGGGGGGGGGGGGGGGGGGGGGGGGGGATGTTTTGTCTTGTCCTCTTACACAACAGTTTAATGTCAAGAACAGCTTTGGAATCATAGCAAAATTCTCTGGGTTTATACCAATGTGAAAGACACAAAATTATTGTTGGAAAGGGTGGGTAGGTAGGGAAATAGGATAAGTTGAAGTTCTGTCAACGATGGTTGGAGAAAGGAAAATTCCTTTTATGTCCTGGTCGGTCCTACTGGAGATGGATGTCAAATTTAGAGGCTCTGCCTACTACATAAATCAATAATGTTAACAGGGACATTCAATCCATATATATGTACACATTTAGTTTAAAAGAAGAGAATTATTTTTTAAAAAATGAAACATATATATATATATATGTGTAGCATCGTATTGAAATCAGGCGCTCGTCAAAATAATGAAATCGAAGAAAAGGGCATTTTTCCACCAGTTTGGCAACTTTTATTGAAATTTTGTGTTTTGGCTAAACACCTTCTCCGTTCATATGAAAACACATTTCCATGTGACTTTTACAGAAGAATCTTATTTAAAGGCAAGAAATATGTAATTTTCTGTATTCAAGGACGCGTAAGCTATTGAAGTTACCATACTTTGGCGCCGTTTTCTCATTGATTTAACCACTGAAACCCGGCTACCCATCTTCTTCAATCGCAAATATCTCGACTTCTATTCTGGCTAGGTGGATATTTTTCCGCTGAAAGCAAGGCAAATGAATAAGCATTCAGATGATATAGATAACTTCACATACCCGAAAATTTACGAGCCCCTGATTCCACCATGTGATGCCACATAAACATTTAGTTTCAAAGAAAAGAAATCTTTTGCTGTAATGAAATGATATAACTGGTTTCAGCTACGTTATGCTTCCTGTCTGGTCTCCTCAGGTATTGTGATCAAGGAGGACTCTGGGGAGGTGCTGGTCGTTAAAGACAAAAACCGCTCGGTAAGTTCTGGTTTCACTTGTGTTATTATTATTATTATTA